GTGGCTGCTTTTGCCCTTTTATCATCCCATACCATACCCATTATATTGCACTGTGCTTTTGTTCTATTTTGGCCTCATCTTCAATTCAATTCTCACTTAAAGTTAAACATCTCCAGAAACCCATCAAAGAATCCATGCATGTTCATACCAGGTCCACCATATAACCATTACATTACATTGTGGTACATACATCCTTTGACTTGTGATCTATTTTATGATCCATCATTTTTACATTGGGGCATGCAATCAAATCAATACCCAGATTCCATTCCACCAGACTTTCAGGCCATGCATTATTGTTCGGATCTCATCTTCATCAAAGAGTGCAGTTCAATATTGATAAGAATCTAGGTTTGTTAAATGAGTATTTCTATTATGAGAAAAAATAATATAATTCCCAGGAATCCAATGTCTTAGTTTATAAGGTTCCAGTTCCAAGTTCGACTCTCTGTGAGGTAGAGTTGTTTATTCATTTTCTTAGTTTGAACATGTCAACTATGGTAACATTTACCTCTTTCGCTATTTTTTACCCGTTAAAGTTACACAATGAATTTTACACAGAATTTTAATAGGAGCTTCAGACTTTTCCGTAAATCAAAACTAAGATCTCTTTGGACAATTAGTGGTCGTTTTATCTTAGCGATGACACGCGCGCACAAAAAAAAAAAAAAAAAAAAAAAAAAAAACTAGGTAGGGAAAAATAGGACCTAGGTAGTGCAAGAAGTACAATGATTAGGATGAATGTGACTGTGTTCACGAATTTTAATAATAACCATTGAAATCTTTCAAAAAAATTCATTGAAAAGGAAGTGTCCTCGGATGCGTACAATAAAAATATAATACTCGCTATATAATTTCATTTCGTTTTGCTTTTTTAATTACAAATCCTACTCCGTATAACACTTTTTAATTAGTCTAAAAAAAAAACAAAAAAACAAAGGGAGCGTGATATTTTTTTTCTTTATTTACTCAATAAAATCATGACATATAATGCGCAAAAATACTCTTTGAGAATACACTATAAGATATGATTGGTTCATATATATAAGTCCTATAAAATGAACATTACAATGTTATATCCTCTCATTTAGTTATGTGTAAGACCACTTTAGATAATGTTAGATTTCAAAAGTTCATCTTAGTTTTTTTTTTCTTTTTTGTAAACCTTTGGAGTTTTGTTGCTTCCAAATTCTTCCTAAGTTATTTTTGATTCTCGATAATATTACATCTGCTCAAAAATACTCTTTGACTTAAGTAACATCTAAGTAATTTCTTTTTATTTTATAACTTAGGCGTCTTAACTATATCCTAGAACCTAGACCTAAGAACCCGCTCCCAGACCTATGAGTAGGTAAATTAAATTTGCCTAGCTTTGAGCCTCACACTAAATTGTACTCTTTTAATTTGTGCAAAAGAAGTCTAACTCTAACTCTAGATCAAATTGATGGAACTCATCTCTAGATTGTCCGTGCTACTCATCCACTGGACCACGGCCCTAGGAGCATGCAAGTAATTTCCAAACCAAACGATAGCGGTCCACACATCCAAGGGCATATTTGGAATAAGGAAAATATTATTTCTACCCCCAAATTATACTCTTTCATAAAATTTTGATATTGACATTTACCTTGGAGCCCACAGGACGAAGATAACTAATAATCCATTGTGACACGAGGAATAAAAGTAAGAGAAATATAGATCTTTGGAATACTACTAAAAGTGTAAAACAAGGCAAAAGCCAAAAAGAAATTAAAGACAGAGGCATCTGTTGAGATGAAAAGGTGAATACTCACGTTAACTCATGATGACACAGTAAGATGGGCTGTCTCCTTGCGTACACCACTTTTCTAATGCCAAATTCTACCACAACGCCGACTAATATAAACCCCTTCAAATTAAAACACACCACTAATATATATAAATCACAATACTTTGAACAGTATAACTAAATTTGTCTGGTTAGGGACAAAGATGATACCATTACCTGCTGCTCCCTCTACCCAGAGTGTGTATTTACAGATTAACGTTTAAAAATTGAGTCTTTCTTGAGAAAAGGGACTCATTTTTCACTTGGAACATTTTTATTTCCATTCTTGAACTTCAATTCTGGTTTTCCAGGTTTGCCATTGCTGTGTGTTTGTTTCTGCAATCTGCCCAGCAATGCAATGAGTTAGTTCATCCCTGTGAAGGTGGAAAGAAAGATGAACAATGGTGGCAGGAGTAATTTGCAGCAGGCCATCAAAGCTTCTCCTATCAAGCATGAAAAAGTAAGTGGTATTAGTAATATTACAATTTAGCAGACTGACTGGGAGGCTGCTTGGGCGACTCGCAATTTATCCATCCCGCGACTTTTGGGCAGGGGTTCTGGGGGCTTAGGATTAGTCTAGCGTAAGCCGGAAAACTAATAAATAGATAATCAATTTAGCAGAATAAGAAGTTGCAGATTTTGGGTATTTTTTGTTGATGATCTGCAACTTTGAATTCTTGAACTTTTGTTTGCCATTGTGGTAGCTAGATTCATCATGTTTTCTTGAGTGCAGAAAAAATGGGAAGTCCAAAGTGACAAGAGAATGTGTGCAGAGAGGCCAGCTGCAAGTAGGAGAAAAGCAATGGAAGAGAGAAAAGTGGCACTGTTACAAGAAGTAATTAGAGACTTCTTTTGTTCCTTTTTCTTCTGAATTGTGTGTTGAATCCAAAATGCAGTGTTCTTGTGCAAAATCTGCAGGTTGATAAGCTAAAGAAGAAGCTCAGGCATGAAGAGAATGTTCACCGAGCTCTTGAGAGAGCCTTCACAAGACCTTTGGGAGCTCGCCCTCGCCTGCCCCCTTATCTTCCATCTGCTGTAAGTATTTTTTATGCTCACTCTTTCACATTGAAGGCTCAAACCTGATGTGAACTTGCATTAGACGCTGGAGCTTTTAGCCGAAGTGGCTGTATTGGAGGAGGAGGTTGTTCGGCTCGAAGAGCAAATCGTGCATTTCAGGCAAGGATTATATCAAGAAGCTGTCTATGTTTCATCGTCCAAGAGTAATGTGAGCAATGATGGGCCATTGAAGGAGAATCACTCGTGCTTTTCAACGACAAACAACCACAAACCGCCTAATTTGAAAGCCCAAACTGTCAGAACTCACGTGAACAGACTTCCCATCGAGCAAACATCAGTGGAGAAGCGTTTAGATCTGCAGAGAGGACAGGTGAATGTATAGATCAATCGCTTTTGCTGTGCTGACATGGGTTTCTTTTGCGTTTTAATGAGTGTCGAGTTTCTGTTCCAGCCAGATGGGAAGATTGTGGAACACGGGAGAGCAGAAGAGAGGGATTTTGTCACTCGGGATAGAGAACCATCCCGAGATTATAGTCCAAACGAAATTTCTGAGAGCACTTTGAAATGCTTACTGAATATTTTCTCGAAAATGAGCTCCAAAGAGAGGTGGAGTTCAGCAGAAACACTATCGTCTCTTTCGGCTCTGGCTGCAGAGTTTAAGGACCCCTACAACATTTGCTCAAAGTTTGGAAGAAGAGATATCGGTCCATATAAGGACTTGTTCGTTGTTGAAGCTGCATCGATCAATCCAAACCGATCAAGAATATCTGTTTTTCTGGTTAATAGATTGAAGTAAGTGTCCAAGAATGTCTGAATCAAGCTTTTCCCCACTGCCTGTTCTCAAATGTTGCTTCGATTTTGCAGACTTCTCCTAGAGAAACTTGCATCAGTTGATCTGAAAGGCCTCTCTCACCAGGAGAAGCTTGCATTCTGGTTAAACATCTATAATTCATGCATGATGAATGTACGAGGCGTTTTCCCTTTGAATATATTGATTCGAAATGTGATTCTTTTAGAGAACGAAACTCATAAGAGAAGAGTGTTGTTTCAGGCATATCTAGAGAACGGAATTCCTGAGAATCCCGAAATGGTGGTGGCGTTGATGCAAAAGGTAACAACTCTTTGTTTCCCACGAGCATTCAAACGTTTGATAATCGTGCCATGTTCATGATGACATTCATTCTGCTGTAAATTTCTTCAAGGCAACCATAAACGTTGGAGGGCACTTGCTCAACGCGATTACCATTGAGCACTTCATTCTAAGGCTGCCTTACCACTCGAAATATGTAAGTCATTTCAGACCGTTTTCTTAAAATCTCTCGGACACCGTTTCTCTAGCTGCAACTAACAACTCATCCATTTGTAATGGACTCTCACCAGGTTTTTTCAAAGGCTGCAAAGAACGATGAGATGACAGCACGTAGCCTCTTCGGTTTGGAGTTCTCCGAGCCATTGGTGACCTTTGCCCTCTCTTGTGGAAGTTGGTCATCCCCTGCAGTAAGTTAACAAACATAACTGAAAAAGGATAAGAGTGACAAGATTTCGATCAATGCTATGTTGAGTCTTACTATCAGCTTAAACTTTTAGTTGAGACAGAACGCATCATTCAATTCGCTGTTATTGAACTGAAGCTTTGTTTGATAAAAGGTGAGAGTCTATACTGCATCCAAGGTCGAAAGCGAGCTAGAAGTGGCGAAAAGAGAGTACCTGCAGGCGACGATTGGGATATCGAGAAATGAGAAACTGGTGGCAATACCGAAGCTGTTGGACTGGTACTTGCTCGATTTCGCCAAGGATATGGAGTCACTGCTGGATTGGGTGTGCCTTCAGCTGCCAACTCACCTGGGAAAAGAAGCAATTACCTGTCTTGAGAGAAAGAATGATGAACATCTTTTGCAGGTTCTCCAGATCATGCCATATGAGTTTAGTTTCAGATACCTCATAAGCATATGAATCTTGTTTTGCTTTGGTTTTCTTCATTTACACTGATTCAAAAGCTTTCAAGTTAGACTGTCAATATATATAGAAATAGTAGAGGTGCATAAAGTGATTGAAGTATATGTGATTCTTTTATCTGAATGAAACTAATCTAGTGTTGAGCACATCTTTCAATTTGATATCAGAGCAAACAGAATGTCCCGAGTTCAAAGACTCTACTTTTGAATTCATCCAGTGATACAAGAACACATCTTTCAATTCGATATCAAAACCATCAAAATATTCCGAGTTCAAAGACTCTACTTTAGATTTCACCCAGTGATACAAACAACAAATCATGTTTAACTGCTCTTGAGAAATTAGATGATGAACCCTATGGCAGTAAAGAACTCATGTTTACTTTTTCCATTGATCAAACCCTACAAGAATTTCACTACAAACAGCAATTCGTGTTTTCACCGCGGATGGGTTGTTGAGAAATTTGATGATAATCCCTGTGTTATGATGTACTGTACAAACAAAAAAGAACTGCCATACATTCGGTATCCACAACAATCACGAAGACATTCTTCCCGTCATTTACTCTTTCTTGACTGGAAAGGCTTTTCCTGACTTGGAAGATGCAGTTACCAGCGTTCCATTGTCAGACATATAGTAGTAGTTGTAATTAATTCTAGTAACCAAATCGGCCAAATGAGGAAACTGGCCGACGTTGAGCTTGAAAGACAGAATCTGCATTTGCAAAATGAGTAAATATGTCATCAACAGTGCTATTTGTGTACTTTGATGTGTTGAACTATAACTTATAGTATATAAAGCATTATAGAAGTAGCGGAGATAAAAGCAGTACCCTGAGAAGGAACGCTATGCAGTCATCAAATTGTCGATCAATCCTATCTACTTCCATCTCACATCTTGCCTTGATAGCTGAAACAGTTCCCCCGCTGTTCAGAGTTTGCTGTATGGAGTAGAAGTCCAGGGCAAGTCCAAGGATACTGTTGATTCGGCTAGCAATCAGTGCCCACTGGAGAAGAAGAAGAAGAAGAAGAAGAAGAGACCATTAGAAACTCTCAACGCCTCGTGTTCTAAGGGCTTGTTTCCAAAGACATAATTGGCAAGGAGAAGAAAGAGAAATTCAAGCTTCTAGAACAGAAAGGATGGCGAAAACAAGAAGATGCAGAGTGTACAAACCAGCTTGTCTGGAACTACAAAGCACTGCCTCTGTATAGATGACAAATACGCCTCGTGTACTTCGATGACTTCATCCAAGGACGCTGCTGCAGCCATACCTTCACAGAGCTCCCTCCATGCACTGTGATACACCTATTAAGGTTCACATGACTAGAGATCCTGAGAATCTTAATTATTTAAGCTTCAAAGATAAGGAACTAAGTGTGAAAGGTTGCAAATCTTCTCAATCCATACTCGTATAATGACACAAATTTTATAGTGCAAACATTTTATGGATGCTGTAAACAGCATTGCTCTTGTTAACTTATAGGTTATAGCAAAGGTCAAATATGTCAACATGTAACAGGAAAGCCAGAAGAATATTGGGCATCTAACAGAGGAGAAGCGATTACTCTGTCCATCACATATTGGTGAAATGCATCAACAAAATGGAGAAGTTTTTGTTCCAGTAACCAGTGGCGCTTGCAATTAGCTGTTGCAGTACTTCTATCCTACAAGACACAGTAGCAATGTGAAGAACTAAAAGATTGATTCAGATGTGACTATGTGAGAAATTTCACCAGACATCGAAAAATAATAATAAAAATAAAAATAAAAATAATAATAATATAATAATAACAATAATAATAATAATAATAATAATAATAATAATAATAATAATAATAATAAGTTGATTTGATAACTGATTACTAAATTGCATGTTCAGATTCAATTCACTTCCATCACACATAATTTCCAGTGAAAGAGGATATCGTAAGAAAGACCTTCAACATCCATCTTCGTGCCTTATCAAGGACAAATTTTGCCCGTCTGATCTTCAATAAGAACCGCATTACCTGTACAAGATATGAGAAATAGCTAAGAAGAAAATAAGGTGATTACACCAAAGAGCAAGAAAGTAAAAGACCTACCCGGTTGTATTTCTTTATTGCCTCAAAATTAGCAATAAGTTCAAGTGGCCAAGAGACCTGTTAAAAAAAAAAAAAAAAAAAAAAAAAAAAAAAAAAAACCAAAACAAAAAAGTTAGGGAACTCCAAAAGTGCATCAGAAAGAAGCAAGGCCATCAATGCTGAAAGCATAAACACACCTTGTATGTGAATGTCAGCGAATCAAGGCCATCAATGCCAAAGTTCTGACCTCGACTTATACGAGGGGTTAAAGTAGGAACCGCTAAATTATTTTGCTCATCCTCAGTTGTAGTAGTATTTCTTGAGATTGACACAACCAGTGAATCTGGTGTATTTAGCAGTATGGCATCAGCAGAGTTCCGGATTGATTCCTGAAAGCAGTTGGTGATGAAATTTCAAAAAACACACATTCAACAGAGATTGTTTATCATGTAACCATTGTACATATCAGCCACAGGAAGGAGAATAGGTGAAACTGGCTAGAGTCAGAACTTTCCTTTTTTGCGGTTAGCAGCACTTTTTTAACAGGTGAATGACGTAGATTCATTCTTGTATTTTACTGCTCAATGTGGCTGACAAGAAATACTACTTTTGGACATTTCACCAAACTTTGCCACTCTACAAGTGAGGACATTTGGTAGGTCCAAAAAGTTGAAGGACAAAATTTGGTCAATTAATAGTTTATAACTAAAAGTGGAAATGTCACTATAGTAGAGGGACCAAAAGTTGTACTAACTCTGGCTTACAAATGAACATTATTAAGAGAGTCAAGGAAAACATTCGCTAAAATCAAAAGTGGAAAACACCATAAAGTTAAACCCAATGTGCAAGTTTCCAGCATGGCATGAGATCTGGGAATGAAGGATGTAGACAACCATACCCCTCTTTTCAAAGGGGTTGTTACAGGTAAGTACATGCCACTAACACCAAGCCCCTCAACCTTCAATTCATTGGGATAACAAGAATTCAAAAAGAGAATCTGTATTACCACATGGATCATGAGTCCTAAACTAACTTGGCATTGTATAACAAAAGGCAAAGTGAAACATATAAAAGGCAAAGGCCATGGTTATCAAGGCGGACTTTCTAGGCGAGATGCCACCGACCGCCTAGCCGATGAGTGTATATATAGAAACCGTGGAATCAGGTGAAAACCCCAGGATTGCTTAATAACAATACGGGAGTTTTCGTAAGAGACAAAGTAATTGTAGGAAAATTGTTCACCCTTTATTTCTTCTTCAACTAACCTTAAACAAATATGCAGAGGACACTACGACTAACTGCTGCAAAAACTACGTAAACGTGCATGCAATTTCCTACTATAGTGCGTTGAGCACTTATTGGTTTCCTAACCATGTGATAAAGACAATAACAACAATTAATAACTAAATGACAAACTAACTGACTAATTCAAAATATCCCATGCAACAGTCTCATCATCAGGGAACTATATTTAGCCAACAAACACACCTGTAATATCATGTTCAAATCAAATTCATCATCCAAAGATTCTCCTTTGTCTAACTTATTGAAAATCACAGTCAAGAAGTGCTGCAACAAATCACCTGGAGAAAGCAAGGTCCCAATCCTGTTAATAAAACTATCACTAACCAAACAGTAGTGACCAATAAATAAAAGTGAACAAAGCCCAAATATCACCGGGAGAAAGCAAGGTCTAATCCTGTTAATGAAAGCTAATACTAACCAAACTAATATTACGTATAGAGAGAAGCCCAAACTCTTAAGGTTTACCTGAACCTAACAAGTATATAGCACGTAAGACTCCCAGCTCATCTAGTAGTCTCCAATCGCAAAGTAATTTTGATAATATATTCCTGCCAATACAATTAGCCTGCAGCATGTAAAACAAGAAGGTCCAGGCATATTATATCTGTAGAAAATATAGAATCTGCAACAGATCTATATGATACTGCTAGCAACCTGTTTCTTGACAGAATTGATAAGGCACTCCTGAAGAATAACCACAGGAAGTGGAGTGCATTTTGGCTCAACATTCCCAATCCAGCTTAGAGTTCTTGATGGAAGAGTGCTATTTTTCTGGAAAGGTAAAACCTCAGAAAGTTGAAGATCTTCCTGTTCCAAAAACCATTGAAAAGATTCAAACTCCAATAAACAAAAATAAGGTACAATTGAACATTTGATCTTGAGAGCTAGTAGGCAAACATTAACCACATGGTGATTTGGTCAGGGAGCAGTAATTCAGGGAAGTAATTGCAAACAGTTACTTGGTGACCAACAAATTCAGTTATCAAAAACCAAAAGAATCAGGAATCCCAAAGATCTGTTAGAGCCTCTGACCGATTCACTTCAAAACTGCGCCTTATTGGACAAGCCATGATTTTCTCAATTGATTCTTAGTTTAAAGAGTAATATGCATCCCCCAAAGTACCAGAATACAAGCTTGATTATATTTAATTACTAATCAGTCATTTGAAATGTGCTTCTTTCCAAAGGGCCAATCTCAAGATTATATGAGACCCTGGCCACCCTCACCCCATGGTAATGGCGGAATTTGTGACCAACAATATGAGCTTAACTAGTTTTGATCATCAATAATACATAAACTTGAGCCTCCAGCAAATTATCAACTCATACAATAGATATATAGCCCAAGCTGAAATTTTAACATAAACAACGAAATGATTCATTTGTATTTTAGCACTGATAAGTTCACGAATAACAGAAAATACCTGAAAGGGTGGAAGCAGAGTTGGAAAGGGAAACAGCTCTTCAAGAAATTTAGCATCTTCCTCCAGACGAATACGTTCAGATTCACCAAACTGGGAACCAAAGGCATAGTTTGTATTTTTAGGAGTCAGCACAAAAGCATTTCCACTAAATATAGCAGTTCTTAATCCCTCATCATTTAAAGGGGGAAGAAAGAAGCTTTTAGATAAATTCAAAGTATCCCAATAATCTCTATTTCCAAGAAGACAACTTTGGCTCACTGTCATTGCTGGATTTTCAGGTACAAATGTTCTCTGAAGCCCATCTATTCCTAGTAAAGTTACCTTGTCCCCTTTCAGATCAAGACTATCTGCATTATAATTACCAGTGGATTGTAAATCAGCCTTTCTGTTCTGAGCAATTGTATGGCTCAAGAGCTTATACCATTCTTTATTGAAGCACATTTCTACATCAAGGGCCTTGTTCTTCTCAATTTCTTGATTAAATGATTCAAATGATGGACGTATTTGATTTTCCTGTTTGAAGTATTCAGAAATGTGATCCCCATGGCCAATAAGAGCTGCTAATGAGACACAAAAGATCTCTGACAAGGTTAAACCAGTGGTGCATTGGCCACTCCCTTGACTACTAACAGATACTAAGGATGATAACGGAGCATGTCGGATCAGCTGCAATGACTTTCCAGCAGAGACAATTGTCCTTGATATGCCTTTCATGAACAGGGGACATGCCAAACAATCAGTCCCCCTTGTTTCTTTCCCTTTCGCCAAACCAGATAAGGAGACCGATTCTCGAAGAGATATATCTTTTCTCTCCCTAGTTGAAGGTAAAGAATCACAAAGAACATCAAACTTCTCAAAGTTTTTTGATCTCAGCAAATAGCTTTTCTCCCAGAACTCAGCCTCATGAACTGTAACTGCTTTGTTAGCATAAAAGAACATCTGCAACAAGCAAAAAGCCGGCATAACTTTTGCATGTAGTGTGAGAGTAAACAACAACATAGGTATATTAGTCCTGAGAATGCTCAGTGTGAGTTCAAAGCTCCATGTGATATTACAGAATTTATCTTTTTCCTGTTAGGTGCTCCAAATAAGAAATAAAATACAAGAGTTACCTCCTCAAATGGATCATCAAGAATTCCCTCAAAAAGCCATGAATCAAGACCTTCAATATACGGCAAAAGACTCCCAGCAAACACTTGTAGTGTCATCCTATATGCATCCTCCTGAAAACACTTGATTTTATTTCAGTGAAAAACACATAATCTTAGGAATTTAGTTTCATAAAGGGCTGTGCTGTTTAACAACCTCACCCCCTTGCACAAGACAAACTTCAGTCAACTTGTTATAGAGATGGTTAAGAATATGCACAGAAATATCAGCAGCAGTTATAGAAGAATCTTGTTCAATGTAGACTTTTGGAATAGCTCCATGCACTATCTGTAGCAAATATTCAGCTCCTGCACACAGACTAACAGAGAAAAATTGCTGTCAAGAATTGTTGCAGAATCCAAAAAGATGAGGAACTCCTGCTTTTGCATAATGCATAATGGACCAGTGAAGAAAAGATAACACTAGATGAGGAGTCTTCTATTTGGTGGAAAATCCAGAAGGCACATAAAATGGTTGATGGCACACCCTGGACATTTCGGGGAATAAAAAAAATACAAAAAAAAAAAAAAAAAAAGAAGCATAGCAAAGACTGACGGCTGACAAAAGGAAGCCAGCAAGGGAGACTACTTGCAAATTGCAATTATAAATCTCAAGCACTCCTATTGAGTCAAGAACAAGTTAGCACTTAGCACCAATAGAAGAGAAAATCTGCAATAAACTCTGCCAGAAACTGAGGATATCTGGACAATATTTTCTCCAAATGACTGAGAGCAGGAGCTGTTATAAACTAGCTACTCCGTATTAACTATCAATACGTGACATAAATAAATTTACTGACTTCGATAAAGAATTTGATAATCCTAGGAGGGTTGGAGAAGTTCCACTGTTTGTGTTGCTTATCTTACTCTCCTCTTGCAAAGCAACATCCCGTAGCCTCTGCACAAAGAGATTATAGCAATATTTATGTGTATTAGGACCATGTGACTGCATGGACTTAAAACTTGAAAAGGAAAGGAACAAAGAAGGTAGAAATTGAAAGAGTTTGAATGCTAACAGATTCATACTCTAAGCCATGTAGAGATAGAGCATAGAAATGCCCTCAAAGTGGGTGGAGGAGCTCTCACAGATTTCTCAACCTTATTGACTATGATTTCTACTAGTTTTAAGCATGCTGCTGCATAAGTAAACTGATCGAGAATGAGATAAAGACTTGTCTGCGAAAGGTGGGAAACATATATCCCCTTTTTGGCACAAAATCGTTCTCCAGTATCATCCCAATAAAATAAAGAGCTGGAGAAACCCTGTAATATCTGCAACACTCCTCGCACCTAATACAAAGATAGATGGGAAAAAGATTTAAACGAACAGAATTATAGCATACTTTTATTACCCGTAAATGCATTGAAAAGATTATTCAACTTACTAGATCAACTTCATTTGTCCTAAGGGATGAGATTGGCTGCACAAAATGTAATCCACCAGAAAAGGAGCTATAAATTTTTTCTATCAAACTTGTAGAGGCTTCCATGTTTTCCACGGATGGAGTTAGTAGCTAAAAGTGAAAACTGCAAATAAGATGCAAAACATATTATAAGCATACTACTTACATAACAACAGACACACAATCTTGCTCTGAATAGTCATGTCTTATTAAATGCAATTAAGAAGACTTCGTGGAACACTTCATTTACCAATTTTATCAAGCAACTGGTGGGCACAAAAGAAGAAAAATAAGATTTTTTTTTTTCCAAACCATTAGACAAATGCGTCCTAAGAACTGCAGCTATTAGAAGACACACAACTCAAAATAGCCTCCAATAACCAAAAACACACACACACAAACATTCAGCTGAATTTAAATTTAAAACAAAAAATAAATAAATAAAATCAAACTTTGTACAGAAATTCTTCTAATATTTCATAATTAACAGGACACATTTTAACAATAGAGCGGTGTGTGCCCATAAAAAGAGATGATTAGTATTTTCTATACCACTCTTTAGAAATTTAACCAAAAAAAAAAAAAAAAAAAAAAAAAAAAAAACACCCAGAGTTCGAGTAAAAATGCAAGCTTGCAATGTTGAATTTCGAGTTTATTTTCTGCATATTAGTGATTGCATAAAAGAATTCGCGTGACTTTACCTGCGTTCACGAATTCCATGTAGAAACAGGCGGATCATTCGGAATTGGGTACCATCCAGTTAGTTCTCCAATTCGAACAAGTAGAGAATAAAAAAAGAGGGAAGATTTGGGTACATATGTAAATTACCGCCGTATGAGGGACTGGTAAAGCGAAAAAGAAAATACCATCTCGCGCCAATCTGTACTACAACTTTACAAGTTTATTTTTTGGCACAAGTGTCAAATAGGCCCATCTATTACGGCAAAGTGTTCAATTCCCACCATTAACTAAATTAAGTGTCAAATAGATCTATTTACCAGTTAAATTTGTTCAATTGGCCTTTTTTACAGGTTACCAACAGGTTGCCTATTAATTATTAAAATAAATAATTAAACAAATTAAACAAAAAAAAAAAAGAACAGCCACCGACTGTCCTCGCCGGTGGTTGCCATTTCAAAGACAGTCGTGGCTGTCTAATATGAGGTCCAGATCTGGACCTCATATTAGACAGTCGTGGCTGTCCGGCTGTCCTCGCCGGACAGCCACGGCTGTCTTTGAAATGACAGCCACCGGCTGTCCTCGCCTGTTCTCTCTCTTCTTCTTTTTTTTTTTTTTTTTTTTTTAATTTTAATTTTTTTAATTATTTATTTTTTTTGCAAAATTTTAATTATTTATTTTAATAATTAAATAGGCAACCTATTGGTAACCTGTAAAAAAGGCCAATTGAATGAATTTAGCTGGTAGATAGACTTATTTGACACTTAATTTAGTTCATGGTGAAAATTGAGCACTTCGTAGTAGTTGATAGGCCTATTTGACACTTGTGCCTTATTTTTAATATATCGCCTAAAACTAAATCTATAATCTATAATCTATAATATATTAAAAATGAATTTATATTGAGAAAATGGTCAAATAAACTCTTGAATTTTTTTTAAAAGGGCAATTAAGCCCTTAAACTTTACAAAAGTACAATTATACACTCGAACTTGTAAAAATGAATCAAATAAGTCTAATTTACCAGTACCCAATAGGTTATCGGCAATTATTGACGTTGACCGTCGCTAATTACTGTTCACCGCCGTTCAAAATTAAAAAAAAAAAAAAAATTTGGTGACTATTTTTTACAGGAGAAGATGACCGGACTGGTCTTCTACTCGTCTTCTCGAGTGGAGAAGACGACCAGATCTAGTCGTCTTCTCCGGTTGAGACCATCTGATTTTTTTTTTCAATTTTTGTATTTGCCAAAATCTTGAATGACTGGTTATTCTAGGTGAATAACCGGCTACTGGGGTTATATGCCTCAAAATGACAAGTTTGAGTGGTGTAATTGCACTTTTGTAAAGTTCAAGAGCCTAATTGTCATTTTGAAGAAAGTTTAAGGGTCTATTTGACCATTTTCTCATTTGTATTGTATGGTATAATTTGCCATTTGATTAGGCAAATTATGCTGTGGAACCGTTGCCACCTTGCAATGTGGACATGGTTCCAAAACTGTTCATAATTATAAAAAACATAGTTCAAAAATGATGAACATAGAGTTGTGAACATAATTATGAACATATAGTTCTGTGATTATGAATATAGAGATTCAATAATTGTGAATATAAAGTTAAAAATTTATAAATATATAATTTTATAATTATGAATATATAGTTCATAAATTGTAAACATAGAGTTCTGTAATTGTGAATATAGAGTTCAAATAATTATGAATATGAAGTTCAAAAATTATACATATATAACTTTATAATTATGAACATATAATTTAATAATTATGAATATATAATTCAATAATTATGAATATAGAATCGTTTCGACCTTGCAAGGTGGACACGGTCAACGGCATAACGTTCCATTTGATTATCACTTGGCCATCCATGGTTAGTTGTCACTTGACATTTTGAGTTTCGACAAGTCCTATGTTTTTTATGACAAATTATATTATGCATCGCGGTGCATAATCGATTATGCACCGCGCGTCTTTTTTTTTTTTAATGAAAATTAACAGTGTTTATTTCCGCCGTTTCGCACCCTTTTGCAAAAAGTAACTTTGTTATTCAGTGTCATTTTGTATACACTGCAGTTTCAGTTGAACACAACTACAGTTTCATTTTGATATAACTATAGTTTCATTCGATATTTATAGACTCAAATATGTGAAAATGTTATTTAATTTTATTTTATATACACTATACTTTTATTAAAACACAACTACATGATCATTTTGATATAATTACAGCTTCATTGTACAATATACACTCAAATATGTGAAAAGTTATTCAGTTTCAGTTTATATACACTGCAGTTTCATTTCACTATAACTACAGTATCATTTTGATATAACTGCAGTGTCGGTTTGAATATACTGTAATGTCAGTTGGTGTTTAATACACTAAACAAATGGACTCCGTTAACTCTAACGGCGGGCCGTTTCTTTACTTAAAGAAACGGCGCCGTATATGGGCCGCAGTGCATAATCGATTATGCACCGCGGTCTATAATATAACAACTGGTTTTTTATGATTTGGGCTCTGCAATATATGTTCTGGATTCATTGGACCCAAGTTATCATTTTAGGCTTTTTAAGCCTGTTGGACTTGGGAGTGCTACATGAAAATAGCTAGAAGCCTAGAAAGAAGAAGAAAACGAAACATCAAGAAACAAAGGACACAAAGTGTTAGGGAAATCTTCGAAAAGATTAGTTGAGTAGATAGAATATAACTCTCGTATTTAAAAATTAGGAGTTTAGTTCTGGTCAACATCCTATCTGTTATGTTCTACTGCACATAGTTTTCATAATACATTTATCTTTATTATATAATTTACGGGCTATTATACAAGAGCGAGGTATACCTAGTGCACACATTATGATAGTAGTTGCTGGTTTTTCTCGTCATTCAAAAAAAAAAATTATTTCACTTTTTTTTTTTAAATGATAAAGAAAACTTACTATTACTCTCAAGTGTACAAAAAAAAAATTTATGTGTAATAGCCCATAAAGTTACAAACCACATTCTATTTGTAAAAGTTGTTCCACTCATTTTTGTCTCGCCATAACAGAGGGTGGAAGTGCATGCATGGGAGCAATTTTGTGCAAAAACTATGCACATCTAATTAAGTATTGTCACTTGTAACAAGACAAGAGAAACAAAATGTATAACATGTAGCTGAATTTACGGGCAAATCGTACATTCTATGTTGTATATGCTCATCTATCAATGCATTATGCATGTGCAACATTTAATAATATTCTATATGATTAAAATGATGAATACATGTATATAGAAGGTTTAGTTCATATCTTAAAAAAAAAAAAATTGTGGAAGATATTTTAGTGTTTCATTATTAAAAGATATTTAATTTATGTTGATTTAAGTATATTATTATCATTATTACTTCATTGGGACATATGTATGGGACTTGGGCTCTGGAACAACTCAGGATGAACAGTGTGCTATTGCGACGAGATGGGCTCTAGCCTCTAGGCTTAGCCTAGATCCCTAGGAGAAAGAGGTCCAGTTCAATGGAAGCGTCTCGCTTGACTAGGAAGAATATAATATCAATTTAGAAAAATACGGTGATACTTTTATAAATATCTCAAATTAATATTACTCGTAATATAAACTTATACACTTAAAGTATAAGTATGTGCACTTCAAAGTTTTCCTTCATTAAGGGGCTTTCATTTGGACATGATCAATGATTGATATCTCACCACAATCTTTTACTTTAATGCTTCTTTTTATTTGATCCAAATTTTATAAACACAAACACATACATACATACATGATCAAATGACAACATAATATTTTTGTAAAAGGTGATAATTGATTTTAGTTGTCCATTAAAATTTATGAATGATTGATAATTTTATTAAGGAATAAGGTTCAAATGGGCCACTGAACCTAGCCTAAAAATGCAATTAGACCACTGAACGGAAAAAAAAATAATTAGGCCACTGAACACTTCAAAAGCGTGCAATTAGGCCACTGAACACTCTAAATGAATGCAATTTCACCGGATAGCAGGTTACCATCAATTTTAACAGATTACATGTTTACGTGGCAGCTGAGCTGGCATTTTAAATAATTTTTAATAAATTTTAATAATTAATTTTAATATAAATTTTAAAAAATTGAAATAAATAAATAAAATAAAATAAAATAAAAGTAAAATAATGGGGTGGCCGGCCGACGTTTTTTCCTTTTTTTAGTTTTTTTTTTTTAATTTATTATTAAAATTTATTAAAAATTATTAAAAATGTCAACTCAGCTGTCACGTAAGCAGGTAACTTGTTAAAATTGATGATAATCTGCTATCTGGTGAAATTGCACGCTTTTGGAGTGTTCAATGGCCTAATAGCAATTTTTTTTTTTCATTCAGTGACCTAATTGTATTTTCATGTGACGTTCCGTGATCAATTTGAATCTTATTCTTATTATTAAATAGGAGAATTAAGGAGAGATTGAAGAGAAAATTGTGGGGGGTAGGGTGTTGGCCCTTTCGTGGCCAGCCTGCCCATGTGATGTGTATAGCTGATGACGGATAAAACACACACCATTATCACACCCAAAACCACTTTTAGCTAGGAGCCATCTTTATATTAAATTGGACCACTTCAAATCATCATGTCATTCTCCAACTTGACAATGCCAAATTCAATGTGATAATGCCATATCACTCGTTACACTACTTTCTATATTATCACGCAATTCCAAGGTTTGGACTTAGTGTAGTTTTATAGTAAAACTATTTTTTTTTTTGGACTGAATGAAGTGTGTTGTTGTTGTTAGATATATTCACGTAAACATTAATATCTGCTAATTAGAGGTGACTACGTACCTAAATCATTGTTTTCTGGAGTAAAAATTTAACGTCTAGTGCTAGTACATTAGACTTTGCAAGTTTTCTTTCTCGCAGAGTTTATCAGGTAGTTGGTTTAGTAACTACAATGTTCTATGTTTATTCATTGTGAGAATTGACTATTGATTTTTTGGTCTGAGCCAGCCAATTATGTGCACCTAAGTTGGTTTATCTCCATATGATCATTTGCTGATTAGGGTTAGAAGGTTGGCTTCACCTAAAACGCACTCTCGAATAGTAGTTACAGGTTTTCTCGTAAATCAAAATGTAAACCAAAAAAGAATCTTTTT